CAATCAAATGGGGGAGATAACATGCAAACAAGTACATACAAAGTGAACTATATACAGGTTAAATAGAAAATAATTAAAAACGGGAAAGCCCTGGAATTAAGAGGAGTTGGGGAAGGCAACTGCTTTCTTCTTTAACACATATTAATAGTAGATTCCTTAGAGGCTCAGCTCTAAGAATGTAAAAAAGGCAAGATACACCTAAAATATGCCCTGTTCTCCTCCTAAGAATTCCCTCCTAGCATAATACATATGTGTGTGTGTGTGTGTATATATATACATATATATGTAATATATATATAATATATATATATAACTTGCTAGAAAGAAATGTGAATTACAATAAATCTCCACCCTACTCCACACCAAACTAATTTATATAATATCTCATCCCCTTGGAACCTAAGGTATCAAAACCAGCAAATTTGATAAACTATCCAAGCTCATCAGCTAATTTGTTTGGGGAAGCTAGGCAGTGCAGTGGATAGAGCCAGAGTGACCCTGGAGTCAGGAAGACCTGAGTTCAAAATCAGCCTCAGATACTTACTAGCTGTGTGACTCTGGACAAGTCACTTAACCTCAATTGCTTCCACACACACAAAAAAAAGGGGAAGAAAAAAAAAGAAAAATGTTCACTCTCCCTTCCCTCTATACCACTCCAAAATGAAGAATTCTAAGAGCGGTAAATGTAGGTTCATAGAAAAAGCTATTTTTACCCTTCAAATCACACCAAATAGCTATCTATTTCATCTACTTATAATGCTCCCTAACCCTGGTTCTGAAGGACGAACGTAATCTAAGTAACAAAAAATGATTATTGTCTGTTCTTCGCAGCTTTAGGAATGATTGGGCTTGTAAGTCCCCAGTTAACAGACCTCTTGCTCTGGGCTATCCACTATGAGGAGGAACCAGGTGTGCGGCTGGAAGCCTGTAGGAGCATCATTGCCCTTCAACTTCAGGGAGACAAAATCCGAGACACCTTCCTAGATGTGCTCCTCCTAGAGAGCCATGAGGCTGTTCTTAGGTAAGTCCCCTAGGACAAAGATATAGAGTTGGATGGGGGAGGGGAAGAATGTATATAGTACCTACTATGTGCTAGGCACTGTGCTTAGTATTTTATAAATATTATCTTGTTTGATCCTCACAACAACCCTGAGAAGTAAGTGCTATTATTATCTCCATTTTGCAGAGAAGGAAATTGAGGCAAACAGGTGAAGTGAAATGCCCTGGGTCACACAGCTAGTAAACGTTTGAGACTGCATTTGAACTCAGGCCTTCCTGACTCCAGGCCCAGCACTCTATCCACTAATAATAGCTAACATTTATATAGTGCCAACTATGTACCAGGCACTGTTCTAAGCACTTTACATGTCATTTGCTCCTCCCAATAACCCTGGGAGGTAGGTGCTATTATTATCCCTGTTTTACATATGAGGAAACTGAGGCAAACAGAGGTTGTGATTTGCCCCAGGGTCACACAGATATTAAGTGTTTGAGGCTGGATTTGAACCTAGGTCTTCCTGACTCTAGGCACGGCACTCAAAAACCATCTAATCTGGGGCAGTGAGGTGGGGCAGTAAGGTGGCACAGTGGACAGAGCACCGGTTCTGGACTCAGGAGGACTTGAGTTCAAATCTGGCCTCAGACACATGACACTTACTAGCTGTGTGACTCTGGGCAAGTCACGTAACCCCACTTGCCTCACATAATAACAAACCAAAAAACACAACATCTAACTCCTCATTTTTAAGCTGAAGAAACAGAAGCCTAGGGAGATTAAGAGACTTGTCTAAGGTCACAAAGGTAAGTGTCAGAGGTAGGATTTGAATCCTGAGCTTCTGACTTCAGGATTAGTGCTCTTTCTACCATACCATGCTGGCTCCTATAACTCTCAGAGCCTACCCACGGCATCATAAAGTATGTGCTCTCTAACTTCCCTGATACCTCGTTCAAAGGACATCCAGAGCCTCACTTTGTAGAATGTTCCTTTCCTTCCTAGACTGTTTAATTAAGAGTATAGGCATTGGCCCACCCTTTGCCAGATCACTGAATCCACCAGAGACTGATATGGCTGGACTCAAGGACACTGGTCACTCAGGTAACTTCACCATCAGGCCGGGAGGCAGGCCCTCTTCCTCTGCTCAGTGTTGCCTCTCTTACCTAATTAAGTACCAGTGGTATCATGAACTGAGACGAGGGCACACCACATACCATTCCTACACAATTGGCTTTTTCCCCCTAGAGATTCACAAGTCTCTCTCCTATAAGGTCTCCTATTGTCTCCTCCTTAGGGAACTGAATGATGCAATGAAGACTCTTCACTTACAAGATGAAGGAAACCAGGAGATGCTTCAAGAGATAAAGCAAAAGGTAGACCTGTGGAGGCTGTGCTCACGGCCGGAAACTGGGTTTCCAAGGTCCCTTGGATTCTCTTTAGCAGATGGGTACACTTACACACCTACACAGAGTACACACGTGGCTTATGTGCACCCCTTTCCCAATCTTAATTCTAGTGCCTCCTTCTATACGTCCACTTTATCCCGTATATAGCTTGTCTGAACACAGCTGTTTGCATGTTGTATCTCCCATTAGATGATGAGCTCCTTGAGGGCAGGGACTGCCTTTTGTCCTTTCTATCCCCAGCATTTGGCATAATGCCTGGCACACAGTAGTCACTTAATGTTTACCAATTTACACAGACATAAATATATATACATACATGCACACATATACATGTGTATGTGTTTATATATAAATACAGAATATAGAAATATGGAAACCCATGGCTTATGTCCATACTTCTCCCCACTTACACACAGATATAACAAATGTCCTGGGCTACAAAAAAATTTGTCTACAACTAGATGAATTTCTAGAAAGTAATCCTGACATCTAGATTTTCAGTGATTAGTTGTTCAAAAATGGCATCCTTTTTTTTTTTTTAATTTTTTAAGGCAATTGGGATTGACTTGCCCAGGGTCACACAGCTAGTAAGTGTCTGAAGCTGGGTTTGAACTCCAGTTCTCCTTACTCTAGGACCTGTGCTCCATCCACTGTACTACCTAGCTGCCCCTCATGCTTATTTTTTTTTTTTTAAGTTTAGTTGCAAAATCAGTAAAAAGGCAGCTAGATGATATAATGGATGGAGAGCTGGGCCTACAGTCAGGAAGACCTCAGTTCAAAGTTAGCCTCACTTACTAGGTAATAATACCTAGTAATATGTTACTAGGTAATATGAATAGTGATATGACCCTGGGCATATAACTTAACCTCTGCCTGTTCTCTTATCTGGTCATGAGAGCCTGCCCTTTGTGTGAGGAGAGAGATAAGGACACATATAGTAGAGAGCTCCAAAATTATCCTCCTTAAGAAAAATGTGCATATATTTTTATATACATATATATCTTACATTTATTGCTTTGATATAATGTATATTATATACACATATATATGCATATAATAACATTTTATATCACCTTTTCAATCAAAGTCAAAGGACTTAGAGCTAGTTCCATTCTTTTGTTTTATAGATGAGGAAACTGAAACCCAGAGAGGATGTGACATCCAGGGTCACATGGCTATTAAATAGCAGACCCAGGATTCAAACCTAGGTCCCCAAATCTAGTGCTCTTTCCACACTGCCCCCTGAATACCCTTTCCAAGTAAGTACAGAATAGTCAACACTGAACAAGCAACTGGAAGAGGTACAAAGTTTAAATAAGACACCATGTCCTGTCCTTAAGCCTAGAATCTAATAGAAGAATAAGACTCCAACAGATAGCTATAATAGATAATATTGTATAATAAACCCATTAGAGAGTTAACAAAATAAAGTGCTAAGCGAAATCCGAAGTGAGAAAGTCATGATCAAGTAGGGGAACTAGGGAAGACTTCTTAGAGAACTGGGTATTTTAATTGGACTTTATAGGATAAATAAGTGTTCAAATGGGAAAAGAGAAAGGAGTGCATTTCATGCATAGGATACAACCTGAGCATTGGCAGAGGGGTATTAGAGTGGAGTAGGTGTGCTCTGAGAGTGTGTGTGAGTGTGTGTGTGTGTGTGTGTCTGGGTGAAGGGGACAGGGGGTATACACAAAGAACTGTGAAGTTTGGCTGGAGGATCAAGCACAGGAAGAGGTGTTTGCTGCAAGGCTGGAAAGATAAGGAGGTCACGAATACCTGATAGGGGAGTTTTAAATTTTACCTTGTAGGCAATAGGGAGCTACTGGAAATTTCTGATTAGAGTGACATCATCAGATTTTAGAAAAATGATTCTAGCAGTAATATAAAATATAGATTGGGGGAGGGGAAGACTGTGGAGGCCTTTAAGGAGGTTATGGTAGTAGTCTAGGCCAGTATTTCTCCAAGTGGGGTCAGGGGATCCCTGGAGTCCACAAGATCCTTCCAGGGGGTCTATGAAGTCAATACTATTTTCATAATACTAAGATGCTTTCATTTCTCATGATAAATAATCCATAGCTATAACCCAAATAAACAGAACTCTTTGGGGGGGGGGTGTCCTTAATTTTTAAGAATATAAACAAGTCCTGAAACAAAAAGTTTGAGAAGCGTTGGTTTAGGCAAACAGTAATAAAAGTCTACAGTAGGGTGGTAGCAATGAGAATAGAGAAAAGCAGATGAGGAGAGATGTTGTAGAAAGGACAGAAGTAAGAGAAAAAAATCAAAGATAACTTAAGGTTATGAACAGGCAAGAGTATGCAAATTGATGATGATGCCACAGAAATAAAAGGTGAAGCCAAAGAGGTTTGGAAGGTTTAGGAGGAAAGATAATGAATGAGGTTTGATTTTTAACATATTGAGTTTATTAAAATTCAATGGGCAAAAGGACCATAAAAACAGAGATGCCCTTTAGATAAGGGTCTGCAGACTTATGAAAAATGCTATTTACCTCCAGAGAAAGAACTGATGGAGTCTGAATGCAGATCAAATGCAGATACTATTTTTCACTTTTTTTTGGTGCATTTTTTTTCCTCTGAGTCTATCTCTTCCTTTACCACATGAAAAATTTAGAACTCAAATTTTTTTTTTTGGTCTAGGCAACAGGATTAAGTACTTGCCCAGAGTCACACAACTAGGAAGTATTATGTGTCTGAGGCCACATTTGACCTCAGGTCCTCCTGACTCCAGGGCTGGTGCTCTATCCACTGTACCACCAAGCTGCCCCAGAACTCAAAATTTTTTTAAAAAGAATGTTAAAAACTGTCTTTACATGGAATTAGGGAAAAATAAAATATTACTTAAAAAAAAAAAGATACAAGTCTGCAGCTCTGAAAGAAATTCAGGTCTGAAGATAAAGATATTGGAGCTATCCTTGTCGAGATGGCAGCTGAAGCTGTGGGACAGAAGGAGACTGTTAAGTAAAGAGAGAAGAGATGGAGAACAAAGACAAATCTTGGAGAACATTCAGATGAGGGTGTTTCCAAGTAAATGAGGAGCCAGGAAGAGAAAATGGAATGAGGACCATAATGCTAATGCTCAAGAGACAGCATGATATAGCAAAGAGATGGCTAGTCTTGCAGTCAGGGAGACCTGAGTTCAAAGCCCACCTCTTCAGAATACAAAAATATCAAATATTTTTAAAAGGCCTAGCTCTGACACCGATTAGCCATATGGCAAATGTGCAAATCACTTAAGGTCTCAGTGCCCTGGGCCAGTTCTCTAAGTTACAAACAAGCTGCAGATCTTTATGGACCTAAGGAGTTTCTACATTGAGAGTTGCCCCATACCAGTGAAATCACAGGTCCAAACCAAAACAAAAGCTATTTTTGTATGCTTGTAAAGGGTCTTACATACTTTATCCCATTTAATCCTCTCTACAGCCCCGTCAGATAGATAGTATAGTATAATATAGTATAAGGATCAGAGAAACAAAAGTAGTCTGTCCAATATCACATAGTAAATGGAGTCAGATTTGAACAGGAATCTTCTGACTCCAAGTCCACAGCTCTTTCCACGATGAGATTCTAGCCTTTTATCTCTTTGCTCTATTCACAGAATCATCAATCTAAGGATGGAAGAGATCTATAAGGCCATCTAGTCCAATCCTCTCATTTTAGAATTGGGGAACTGAGATCCTGAGAGAAGTTAACTGAACCCTTGCTACTTTTCCAGTCTTCTTAGACCTGAGTCACCCTCCACACATTCTGTGGTTCAGAGGCACTGGCGTTTCTCCTACTTGGTATCTCATCATCTGCTGAGGACATTTTCACCCCCTCTCTCTGCTACTCTCTGCCTACTACCTTCGTTGGCTTCTTTCAAGTCACAACTAAAGTGTCTCCAACTGCAAGAAACCTTTCCCATTTCTCCTTAATCTTAGTGCCTTCCCTCTGACTCAACCCTGGATTTGCGGGTCAGGAGAAGGGAATAAACATTTATATAACACCTACTTTGTGCCAGGCACTGTGCTAAGCATTTTACAAATAGTATTTCATGTGAGCCCACAGTTGAGGAAACTGAAGCAGAGTTAAAAGTGACTTGCCCAGGGTTCCATAGCTAGTAAGTGTCAGAGGCTAAATTTGAACTCAGGTCTTCCTGTCTCCAAATCTTATTCATCTTGTAAATAGCTTGTTCGTAGATGATTTTTTTTTATGTCTCCACCATTAGACTTGTCTTAAGAGTACGGCCTGTTGTTTTTTTTTGTTGTTTTTTTTTGTTTTGTCTTTGCCTTTCTTTGTATCCCTAGCACTTAGAATAATGCTTGGCACACAGAAGGCACTTAATAAATGCTCATTGACTGCTTAACTTGCCCAAGGACACACTAATAGTTTACTGAGCTTGTCTTCAAATCCAAAGTCCTCTGACTCCAAATGTTACATTTTCTATGGTGCCTCTCTTGTCCCATGTCATAGGGTTGGCATTACTTAGCTTTCAGAGGTGTGGCTGGAATAAATCAAAACTGAAGATATAAAAGCAATCTGAAAAGTTAAAATCACCTATCACAGTGCCTTGCAAAGAAAGCACTTAATAAATTTATTGGATTTTAATTTTTAAAAGCTTTACAAATGCAAAGTTTTTATTATTTTACATAACTCCCAGGAATTAGGACTATCCAATAACCTAGCATATTTGTTTCTGACAGTTAGTTTTTATATACATATAAAAGTATAAAACCAAAATAAAATTTTTTCATTAGTAATCCTGAAAAAATATCCAACCAGTTTAAGAGTTCGTTAAATTCCTTCAGATGGTTAGATTTAGTAGTCATTCTGACCTAACTTCCCTTAGGCTAAAGATTCCCCACCCCTGCCTTAGAACCAATTACTGTTGCAGGAACTAAACTGATTTGGTACCTACAGACCTAGCTGTGAGTATGTCCCAGAATAGGTCATCCAACATTTCAGTAAGGCAGCTAGGTGATGCAACAGCTAGAGCTCTGAGCCGGAAATCAGGAAGACTAGAGTCCAAATGTGGCCTCAAACCGTGGGCATGTCCCTACCTCCGAGTTATTGTAAAGATCAAATAATATTCATAAGGCCCTTAGTATAGTACTTGGCATATAGTAGGTACTTAATAAATGCTTATTCCCTTCCCCTTAATGCCAAGATGCTTTCTTCCTTCCTCAACAAACCACTCTCCCCAACTACATTTTACATCTTTAATATGCTACCCAATCATAGGTTATCAATAACAGGAAGCTAAAAAAGGAGTCCAACTTACCCTACCTATCTTTAATTGCAAAGAGGAAGGAAAAAGCAATGAGAAGGATTTGGTGGGGTGAAATGTGAAAGGGAGTTGGGGAAGTGGGAGGTTATTTAAAAAAAGAGAAAGGAGTATTCCAGGGGTGCAAAAGATCCTGCCTTATGCTACTTTCTCTGATTAAACAACTCATTTTACTATGATTAAGCACTAGGATATCTAAACCTTTGCATTTTCTTTCAGTGCACATTCTCAGACAACAGGGGTCATTTTCCTCCCTGGGCTTGGACCAAAGCTAGTTTGCTCCTGTAAACTCCCAAGCAATCGTCCAGGCTGCCAAATGCATGCATCTTTTTAAGTAAAACATGCACATTAATGCCTCACTCTTAAATTAAAAAAAAAAAAAAAAAAAACAAACCCAACCTCATGCACAGGTCTATGTGTGAATTTCTGGGTTACTTTTGGCTCTGTAGGGACAATATGCCTCTCTAATCCCAGGGCAACAGATCCCCTCTGACTAGTCTGAGTGCCACAAACACTCATGAATTTCTTTCCTGATAGTGGGATCAAGAGCTCCCAACACAACATGACCTGAGAGTGGTGGGTCTAAGTATTTATTGTACTTGAAAATCTCTTTTGGTGGGGCAGTTAGGTGGCACAGTGGATAGAGCAGGACCCGAGTTCAAATACCGCCTCAGACCAACCGACACTGACTAGCTGTGTGACCCTGGGCAAGTCACTTAACCCCCAATTGCCTAAAAAATAAGAAAATCTCTTTTGGCAAATAGATGACACTTGAGCTTAATGTACTATTCTTATACAGTTCATTCTATACATGCAACTCCCATACCTCCCATATCATCTTCCTCCCTGATGTTTTTCCAAAACAGTCCCCAGCTCTAAAATTCACTTAAATATGGACCTTCATATTCCCATGACTAGATAATCAAGCACTGGGTTTAGGTTTTTCCATAACTGTCTAAATGCCCTCTACAGTCTAGTATAGGTATTTTAGCTTCATTACTTTCTGCCTAGATTTCTGAACTAAATCAGAAAAACTTGATCATCAATAAAATACTGAAGATTGAGAAAATTGCTGAAACTATTCGGCAGGAAGCAAGATTTATCTGTCTCAGCCATCCCAGAAGTGATAAACCTTCAACACAACTTGTAGACTTTTTCCAAGATGCTTTTAAAGGTAAGTTTCACAGTGTTTAAATCATGTCTATCAGTGTCATTGACACATATTTTTAAAAGCTCCTGAATTGGCTGGTACTTTTCTGGGTATTGCTTACTCTACAGATCATATTCCCTTCCTCCCCACACCACCATTCTCCCATTTAAAGTCTCCCTATTGTTTTCTGTTTCCAATAGGCTACTAACTATGAGGGGTGGGGAACCTGCGGCCCGCAGGCCACATGTGGCCCTCTAGGTCCTCAAGTGTGGCCCTGAGTTTGGATTCAGACAAAGGGCCGTACAGGGCCACATGTGGCCTGGGGGCGACAGCTTCCCCATCCCTGAAGTCCATAACACTGTAAAACTAGAGTTCATGTAGCCCAACTTTTCCTCTTCCATTTTAGTTTCATTATTTAGATGAGAAAACTAAAGCCCAGATAACAAATGACTTGGCCAAGGTGATTCCGACCAATAGCAGAAGGGCAAATTCAACCTAGGTCCTCTGACTTCCAATGTAATACTTTCCACTAACTACACTATGGAACTGAACTTATTGGTTACTTCCTCTACGTGGTACGTCCCAGGAGTGGTAGAAGACAGGGTCTTTGTAATGTAGTGCTTATAAAAGAGGGATATGTATTGCTATTAAAAAAAAATGCATTTGCCAGATATATGACCTGGAGTTGATGAGGCTGAAGCTTCATTCAGATATCTACCTGATAGTTCATCCTTTATGGAACTAAATCCTAAACAAAATATTTATAGTAAAATCAATCATAAGAATGTTTACTGCAGATTACAGCAACATCACAACATTCATAAAGTTGAAAGGTAAATGAAAAAACAAGCTCCAATAGCCAATCTAACATCCTAATTAAGGGAAAGATAAGCACCTGATAAATTTGGGCACTTGAACTCACTGTCATGTTTCTTAATCTCAGTCCCAGCCAGAGTAAAGCACAAGGCTAGAGGAAAAAAAAAACTAACTCTATAAAACTATAGTGGGTATTGTATTTCTTGCATTGTCAGTGAGTAAGGGAGAGGGTAGAGGAATGAAAGAATTTGGAACTGAAAATAAAACTTTTAAAAAGAGGAGGCAGATTTGGAACTGAAAATTAAAAAAAAAATTTTTAAATTAACAGAAAGAAAAAACTGATGGGCATACTACAAAGACAATAATACTGCCTGGAGGGCAAAGTTCCCTTAAGTATAGAGAATTGATTTTAATGAATGGAATTTCAAGTTCTCAACTATTTGTAAATGAAATGGGCAAGTGCTCCCCCCAAAAAATATTCTCCTAGTTCTAATGACTGAGAGGCACCCAGCCAGTCCTACCCCACAGATACTTCCTCTAGCTGCTACTTTAGACTTATCTTCTTTCCCAAACCCATCTAACATAACTTAATATGCCCAAATCTGTTGGCATTTTAATGAATTCTGAATCTTTCATACATAATCCTCACCCTCAAACAGAATCCTACCCCTCACTTTCTGAAATAGAAGCTAAATAGACTCTTCCTAAGAAGGCAGGGATCAAGTCTTACTCAGATTTTCAATTTACCCCAGCCAAGCACAGAATTCTTCATAAGAGTCTTACTTAATACCTATTCAATGAAAATAAAGTTTATTCAAATTCTAAATCAGACAGACTGTGCTGGTCCTGCAAACTTGCATTAAATAGCAAGTGTGCCAAATGCAGAGATAGGTCAGGCTTGCTTCTACAGATGGGGTTTCTTTTCTTTATGTACCTAGATCCTGATGTCCCTTTCACTCTGACACCTTCTGATATCTGTAACTTGGAAAAAGCCTTAGAGGTATGTATGAGCACAGTTAGAGGATTACCAAGGGAAGACATCTCAATAAGGCAGTAAAAACAAAAACACATCTTTATTTTTACTTCTACTCAACAAAAAATTACTATGGGGTCAGAGGTTTCTTGGTGATCAGCAGTCCCTTTTCAAATAACATGGTCACTAAGGAAATCTGGTCCTTGCTATTATCACAAGGCAAGTCTCCCACCTGCACAAAACCTGGGTAGGAACTGAACAAGTACTCGATGCCATCAGTGTACTGGGAGTCAATCTCCAGGTACTTGGGCTCCCCCTGATGATAGACTCGAGAATTTTCCACGGTGTAGTACAAGACGACACTGTCATCCTCACTCACTAAGCGAGTCAAACCATGCCGAAGCAGGCGGACCTGGGTCTCAGTGGTAATTTTTGCCCCCACATTCCAAGCCTCCCCAGCCTCCCACCGAACAGGCAGCCCATGCACACTCAGTGCCCGCTCCTTCTCTGACAGCACCGGAGGCAGACAGTCGTGGAGGAAGCCCTTGGCTCTCTGGTCGGCCACAGCATCTACAGGTGCATACTGTGCCATGCGGGCAAGCAATCTCTGCACCTTCTCCAGGAAAGGACCTCGACGAGGGTCCCCAGATTCTGAATGCTGAACCCCCATGTAATCGAGGTAGTCCCTAGGTAGACCCCTGCGGAATTCCACGTCCTCCTCCACGGCAGCTTGCAAAGCCGCTGGCAGCAGGGGTTCCAGCAGGTCCCCCCAAGAATTGCGCTGGAAGGTAGACAGAGTGAGGTGCAGAGAGTGCACCCCAGGCTCACACTCAGCCTGGTGGATAAAGCCCCGGGGGAAATAGAGCAGATCCCCGGGCTCCAACACCTCTTGCAGCACGGGTTTTCCCAAGCCCTGGGGTCCAAAGTTAGGGCTGGAAAACTGGGGAAGTTCTTCCGCCTGCTCCCGGGGCTTGTAGACCCGCCAGAGTTTCCTCCCCTCCAGCTGCAGGACGAAGGCTTCGATGTCATCGTAGTGAGGGGCGAAGCCCTGGGAGCCCGGGGGAGTGAGGTAGGCATTGGCGCCCACCATGCTGCTGAAGTGCTCCTGGAGCACCGACAGCACCTGCCACACGACAGCAGAGAAGGCCTGCGGGCACAGCAGGCGCAGGGAGCAGCCGTCTCGGTACAGAGACCACGCGGTGGCCGGCAGAGCCCGCCCAGGCGGGTTCAGGGTCTCGCGCTGGCCCTTGCGGTAGCGCGCGGCGTCCAGGTGTAGTCCGAACTGCACGTCCTCCCCGCGCAGCACCGCGTCCAGCTCAGCCGTGGAGAACAGGCCCCGGTAGTAATCCGGGTTGCCCCGCCGCACCAGCACCGCGTCCTTCTCCCACATCCAGCTGAAGAAATGATCTACGGGCAGCGGTGCGATCAACCACTCGAAGAGACGGGCAGCCCGACGTTTGCTGTGCGGAATCTGGCCCAGCTCCTGGAGAACCTGCTGCAGGGAGGGTGCACCGGACCCCGCCCCGCAGCTGTTTTGCCCCTCTACCAGCTCTACTTTCGCCCCTTCTTCCACCTTCCTCTTCTCTCCCACCGCAGTCCTCTGGGGCTCCGCCTTATCTCTCTTAACTTTCTTAGGCTTTTGGTTCAGGCTCAGTTTTTCTACCGCAAAGGTCGGGGTTGGGGATAGAGCCCTTTCGGGTTCCGCTGTCTGTCTCTTAATTTCCTGCTTCTTCTTCACTTCCCTCTCCTCTTCTACCCGCGCCGTCGGGGGTGGGACCCTTTCGGGCCCTGCTGCCTGTTTCTTGACTTTCTTCTTCCTTGGGCCCGCGCTCAGTTTTTCTACTGCCCCAGGAGACTGTTCCACCACCCTCTTCTCTCCTCCCGGAGCCGTCCGGGGAAGGACCCGTTCGGGTTCTGATGCCTCTGTCTTGACTTTCTGCTTCCTTGGACCCTCGCTCAGTTTTTCTACTGCCCCTGGACACTGTTCCACCTTCCCCTCCTCTCCTCCCGGAGCCGTCGAGGGCAAAGCCCTTTTCTTCTTGACTTTCTGTTTCCTTGGGACCCCGCTCTGTTTCTCTACTACTGAAGGAGATAGCCCCGCCTCCCTCTCCTCTCCCACCGCAACCGACGGGGTCCGAGGCAGGGCACTTTCGGGCTCCGCCGTCTGTCTCTTGGATTTCTGATTCCTTGAAGCCCCACTCCGCTTCTCTCCTGCCGCAGGTGCAGAAAGCGGTTCCACCTCCCTCTCCTCTCCTGCCCCACCCGTCGGAGGCAGGACCCTTTCGGGCTCCGCGGGCTCATTCTGGGTTTTCTGCTTCCTTGGGCCCCGGCTCCGTTTCTCTACTTCGGCTGCAGGCGGACTGGACTGCGGAGCTCCTGCCTCGGGTTCCCCTTCCAGTTTCAAGCCATTATCTTTTTTTGGCAGAGGCTCGGGTCCCTCTAGCCCTACCTGGGAGCATGCCTTAGTGAGGCTCACCTTTTTCTTCCCCTTATGCTGCTTCTTGATGTCTTTGGACAGAGACAGGAGGTGTCCTTTTCTCGGCTTCTGCAGTTGCCGCGGTTTTTCTTTCTGAATGATGCCGGCGCGCTCCTGCAAGCGGTAGATGGCTAAAGCAGATACACGTGTGCCGTCCATGTTGGGGACTGTTTAAAAAAAAGTGTAGCTGCCGGGGCTCCTCCTCTTCCGGCTGGGCTTCCAGCCGCGGTCCTGAAAAAGCAGTCCCGGAAGTTCCGCAAGTGACGCAGCACGCCGGGCCGGGCGGGGCCTTCCAAGGAGCTCGGCCGGCTCAGCGCCCCCTGTGCTCCCCTCCCCCCTGTGCTCCCCTCCCCCCGTGCTCCCCTCCCCCCTGTGCTCCCCTCCCCCCTGTGCTCCCCTCCCCCCTGTGCTCCCCTCCCTAGAAGGTCTCTAGGCTCCAGGGTTTGCGGGGGCGGGGTCTCTCTTGCTGGGGCGGTCCTCTCCTTTAGTTCCTGACCCCAGGGGCGAAGGTTAAAATGCTTTAAAGCAGTGGTTCTCCTAGTGCAGTCAGTACACCCTGAGGTCAAAACTATTTTCACAATAATATTAAGACATTATTTGCCTATTAAAATAGTCCTCCCCTTTTCAACTATAAACCTGGGAGAGGCTGGATTTTCACGTTTCGTAGCGCAACAGATAAGAGTGCAGAAGCTGATAGGAGAATCCATCACGCCATAAATTAGAAATTTGCAAAAATATGTGAAAGTGCCATTCAATTTTTGTTGCTTGGGAAAATATAGTTATTTTTCGTTCAACATGTTCATGTTAATATGTAATGGATTTATTATAGTTATTTTTCAATTAAATTTTTTTTTAATTATCTATTTTAATTTCTAATGCGCTGTCTCGATATAACCCACATAAACAAAAGCTCTTTGGGGTCCTCAATAGTTGTTAAGACTGTAAGGGGATCCTCACACCAAAAAGTCTGAGAACCTCTGATTTAAACTAATGTGTAACTAGAGTACCAGCCCAAATCGTAAGTATTTATTGCCCAGGTGTAATTGCCGTAAAATTGCAAACACGTGCAATTTTAAAGTTCACTTGTCCTGGAACTGTGAAAGAAAGGACTATGACTTTCTCTTCTTCCTCTCCATCTCCTCCCTTCTCCCTTCCCCTCCTCTTTCCCCCCTCTTCCCTTACCGTCCTCCTTCCTCTTTTCCCTCTCCTCCTCTCTCCCTTTCCCTCCTTCTTTCTCCTTTCCCCGTCTTCCCTTCTGTCTTCTTCCTCCTTCCTTTTCTTCCTCCTCTTTTTCTCCTCCCTCTCCTCTTTTCCCTTCCCTTTACTCCCTCTCCCCTTCCTCTTTTTACTCCTCCTTTCCCCCTCCTCTCTCCTTTCTTCCCCTTCCTCCCCATCCCCTTCCATCCCTCCCCCAACACCCGAGAAACGCTCCTGCTCTGGATTCCCCAGCTCCGTTTGCTGTGTACTTGCCCACTCGATGGGGGGGACGGGGTTAGTGGTGGAGTATATCTCTGAACACGGGTATCAGAAGAAATGAAGTGGGAAGGAGGGAGGTGGAGTGAAGCCTAGCCGCAAAGTTGTCCTGGGAGCTTTTCTCACTCTGGGATGGGCAGAGCAGGGGAAATCGTGCCCCCCCCCCTTTCACTACCAACCACAGTGGTGGTATTTATATATGCCAGACTATATGCTGCTAAGTAGAAATACCACCCTCCTAAAAGTACTGCCTTCTTTTTTTTTTTTTTTTGAGATTTATTTTATTTTTTCAATGAACATAATCTTTTTTCTCTCCCTCTCATCCTCCCTCACTCCTTGGGAAAAACAAAATCTTCGTAAGGAATATTCAGAGTCAGACAAAACAAATTCCTGCATTGGCCATGTCCAAAATTCTGGTCTTGTTCTATTAGCCCATCACGACTGTCAGGAAGTGGGTAGCCAGCTCCATCACTGGTCCTCTGGAATAAGGGTTGGTCCTTGAATTGATCAGAGTTCTTAAGTATATGAAGCTTACATGCTAAGGAACTGTGTATTAGGCACAATACGGTGTCCTAAAGAAGTAAAGCATCTCATTTGTGCAAGAAACAAGAATGAAGAATAAAAAGAAATATGGGAAGTTACATGAATTGATGCAAAGTGGAATTAAAACCAGGAGATAGATAGATTTGCACATGTGTAGCTAGGTGGCACAATGAATAAAGTGCTGAGCCTGGAGTCAGAGAGGGCTGACCTTGGGCAAGTCACTTCTTTCTGCCTGAGTTTTCTCAGCCCTAACAATGGGGATAATAGCCCCTACCTCCCAGGGTTGTTGCCGGGATCAAATGAGATGTTTATAAAGTGCTTAGCACAGTGCTTATTAAATACTTGTTCCTCCCAATATATAAAACATATACAATGTAAATGGAAAGAACAGTAACAACAACAAAAAGAGATAATTATGATGACCAACTTTGTCCCCAAGGAAGAGATGAAAAAATGCACTGCCCTCCTTTTTTGGCAGAGGTGGGGGAATATGGGTGTGGAACATTGCATATACAGTCAGACTTGGTTGATCTGTTTAGTTTTGCTGAACTACTTTGTTTTTCCTCTTTTTTATCCTTTGTTACAAAGGGTGTCTCACTCAGGGAAATGAGGAGGGATATTTTTGGAAATGAAAAGCCAATGTTAAAACAAAAGTTTGTGGGTTTTTTTTATCTTTTGGGGTTTTTTGTTTGTTTGTTTGTTTGTTTTTTTAAGTAGTGAGCAAGTCATCCTTTCCCTCTGGGAGTTTTCAAAAAAGAATTGTTTTCTATGTTCATGTGCAAGTTTCACAGGGACCTGAGACATGCGTTTCTGAATGGTAAGTTTGAGAACACTCAACTGGGTTGAAGGAAGACTTTGTTCTTTTCACATCCTCTACAGACATCTCCTCCCAGCCTTTCCTGTGACCTCATCCTTTCCATATATCTCTGTCTTAGAATTTCCCTTGTGATAGGGAGTGGCTTTTTGAAGGCTGACCATCTCTAATTCCATGTCTTTTCCTGTGGCAGCTCTTAATTCTTTCTACAAAAGCAATTCCATTGTCCATAACTACTCAGTTCCCTTTACACTGTTCAGAGTTTACCTCCTGGTCCTTTTAGAGATGACATCGAGCAAAGCCAAAAGAGGTTCAGATTAAAGATTGTTACAAATTAAGATCAAACAAAGATTATTTAAGTTGGTTATGAGAAGGTTGAATTATTCTAGGTGAAAACTGCCATGGAGGAGACAATAAGCAAAACAGACATTATGCATTGATCGACTAGATAGGATTTTACTTAACAGCAGAAAAGCTTCCTACGCTCCTCCCCATTCTGCCTGACTTAAATCCAATTTATGTACAAGTCAAGACATCAGCCTGTGATATCATTGGTCCTCTTGGAAAACAACCCTACCTGTTTTTGTCGTTAAGTTGTGACTGTATTGGGGGTTTTCTTGGCAAAGATAACTAGAGTGTTTTGCCATTTCTTTCTCCAGCTCTTCTTACAGATGAAGAAACTGAGGCAAACAGGATTAAGTGACTTATCCAGGGTCACACGGCTAGTAAGCCCTCCAGGCCCTAGATTCAAATCCTACTTCTGCCACTTACAAGTGTGCTCTTGGCCAGGTCAATGAATCTTTCTGAGTTTGTTTTCTCATCAGTAAGATGAGAAGATCTCTAAATTCCCTTCCATCTTTAAATCCACAAACAACTGAATGCTAAAGATGACAACTTTCCCAAGGATATTTGTATTTCTAATAAAGAAGGCAATGTTCAACTCGAAAGAAGGAATCTCTAATGGAGGAATTTCAGTCAATGTTATATAGATGGGGACCTTTAGGGGGCAGGAGGACAGAGGAATTTTCTTAACTTCCCCCAAAGCTCATCATGTCAACTTATGCCTGAGTGGACACATTTTACCAGTTAGGCCTGACAGATCCCCAGGATACAAAACCTTCAGGCACAGTTTTCAATGGTTCTCTTCTCCCTTGTTGTTCCTTCCCCTCAATTCTAAAAGACATAAAGTACAGTTTATCCAGCTGCTAGGTGGTGCAGTAGATAGAGCACTAGGCCTGGAGTCAGGAAAGCTCCCTGAGTTCAAATCTGACCCCAGACAGTTACTAGCTGTATGACTCTGGGCAAGTTGCTTAACCTCTTTGCCTCAGTTTCTTCATCTGTAAAATGAGCTGGAGAAGGAAATGGTAAGCCACTCTAGTATCTTTGCCAAGAAAACCCCAAATGGGGTCACGAAGAGTCAGACACAACTGAAACAACTGAACGATAACAAGTTTTTCTGAAAGCCACTAGGCCGGTGTCTAATTGTTTTGTAAGGTGGTCTGGTTTCTGTATTTGGTTTCAGTCCCTGGTAAAGGTCAAACCTAGCCCCAGGTATTTATCCTGACTCCCCCTTCCAGTAGAGTGTTATCAACTTCTCCAAGGAGTAGGCAGATAAGACTTTCTTTTGGACCTTTTACACGAGTCATCTTATTGTCTTAATTTTTTTCAGCGTTTGCATTCATGTGTCAATATTTCTGTTGTAGCCTGTGCGGTCACCTACACCAAATGCCTTCCGCAGGAGTCCCATCTTTGATCAGAAGAGTCCTGAAAAAGTAAAACTCAATAAACATCTAACAACCATCAGGGAAAAAAGAATTTCTTTGGGACCATTTAGTGAGGCCCAATGCTTACCTAAAACTGAATAAAAGCCAAGAAAAGAAAAGAAAAAAAAGACCTTTCTATCATCTCCCAGTTGAAGAAAAAAAATCCCTTCATCCCATCAAGAAGAAGTATGGCTATACATAGACAACCAATAGGTAGCTTTGTTGTCAAAAGACTCTATCTTACCATTCTGTATTATTTGTTTGATCAGTATGTCTATAAACTGGATGCTGAAGAGGAACTGGATTAATTTCTTAATTTAAGTCATTGAACTGAAGAAGAGTGGTTGATCCAACTCATTGTCTCCCCTCCAGAGGTCTCTAGTTCACTAGAACTAAAAATAAATAGAGCTTTGGCATGTTCTGCACAATGCACAGGAGGTCTTTTGAGGCATGGCCTAGAGTTCCTTTCCCCAGACCAAGAATCAGCTCTGATGAATTTTTATCAACAGGTTTGGGAAAGGGCAAATTTAGTAGCTTCTACCCACTAATCAAAGTTGGGGGAGAGGGTGGGGTGTGTTCCTGAAATCCATCACAAATCCTAACTGGCTAAATCATGTTTTCTCCTTTGTGGATGGGAGGGAGTAACTACTTTTAAATCCCTAGTATATACCTCAAATATTCCACAAAACAGATTAGCAATGATTCTCTTGATACTGTAGCTCTAAAATGCTTAATGACCTCTAAAAGAGTTAGGCTTCTGACAGTACCAGAATTCTGTCATTCATTCAACAGAACAAGTTTGACAATCATATCAACATGATGTGATGTTCAACATGTTCAAATGTTCAACAAACATTAAGCACCTACTGTATGCAAAATGAGGGGGCTATGAAGATAGATAAACTAGCTCCTGCCCTCGGAAACTCTTGGGGGAGCTCATAAAAGTTTAGCTGGGGTTGAGTGAGAACTCAGAGCAGTTGCTATAGGACAGATGGGAAGATATTCTGAAGATCTAGTTTCCTTCACTATTACAATTTACCTGCATAATGCCTATGGACCTCTCCTCTTTAAAAACCTGAGTCATTCAGTATTCAAAATTCTTGAAAAAAAAAAGTAGTTTTAAATCCTACTTCTCATTCTCCCTTCTGACTCTTAGCCTCCTCTCATTCTCATCCCCTTAATATTATTGGTACCATAATTATAAACAGAATATGATCATAAGGAAACAAATTACCCCCAAAAGTCAATGACTGGTATTTCTGAAAGAGTCCATGGAAACTGTGGGACAAAAGGAACCTTTTTTTCACATGCCCTCTGCACATTAGAAGAAAAAAAAAGAGCAGAATAACTTGCAGGGAAAACTCTAGGGAATTTTGGTGAATTCTTGATCCTCATTGCTAGACCTAATATAGATGGTTATAGATAAAATTCCATTGCGACAACTAATTTGAGTATGCAGAGGTTTTATGTCATGAAACTACTTCCATTGTTCAATATCTGGCCTTTGGAAAAAAAATCATCTAGTTACAAAGAATTCTATACAATGAACAATACTGTTCAAGTCCTTTCCTTGATTCCTATGCCTGTAATAACCGCTCTACAATGAAAACATTTCATTGTGAGTCATTTGCATCATAGGCTAGAATAGTTGTGATAGTCTGAAAAACATCTAGTTCAGATGGACCTCTTTGAAATTCCTTCTGCTTTAGACATTCCCCCTCTTCCTCCTTGGTATTCTCACCTTGCCTCTTTTCTAGTACCCTGTATACCTGGAAACATCCATGTTGGAAACTCCTAGTTCCATTTAACTGGGCCTTGCTAGCTAATCTGTGACCCTTCTCAGAGATGGGAAACCAATCAGATGCAACTGGGCAAGATCCACTCCTCCTGACAACAGCAACAGATATTTATATAGGTTTTAATGTTCACGAAGGGGAAAGGAAACAAACATCTATTAAGCACCTACTATGTGCTAGGCACTGTGCTAAGCACTTTACAGATACCTCATTTCATCCTCACAACAACCCTAGGAGGTAGGTGCTATGATTACCCCCAATTTACAGTTGAAAAAACTGAGGCAAACAGGTTAAGTGACTTGCCCATGGTCATAACAGCTAGTAAGAGTTTGAGACTCTATCCACTGTGCCACCTAGCTGTCTCTCCATAGGGATTGTAAGACTCATTTGAGCCTTACGATATTCCTCAGAGGTAGGTACTACAGGCATAATTTTATAGATGAAAAAAATTGAACATCAGAGAAGTTAAGTGACTAGCATAAGGTCACAAAGTATCCGAGGCAACATTCAAATCCAAGTTTTCCTGTCTGCAAATCTTGCACTCATCTGTTATACCATATATAAAACCTGTTACCACTACAGACACAGTCCTGCTATGGAGGATGGAATTTCGGTGCTATTCTTCTGAACTAGTACGAGTAGAAGGAGCAACGAGGGCTTTGTGTATGTGTAACCTGGGTGTACCATGTCCAGGGGGCAGGCTCTCAAAGAGTCATTGACAACCTTCTTCCTCCAGTGGCCTGAAGATTATTATACCCCAGAACCTAGCAATACCCAACTGAAAAACAAGACCCAAATGTATCTTTGTCCCTGTAATAACCAAGACACCTCTTCCTTTCCTCCTGTCTCACATGTATTTCAAGTTAGGTCTAAGCCTTTCTTTGTGTAGGTTAAACTATGCCAATAATAAAAGTGTGTTGCATTTAGCGTCATTGCCTGATCTATTTCTTTCGTGAATGCCTTAAGTCCCAAATCTGGGGACAATAGAAGAACTAGGCTAATCTCTTTGATCAACAATTGGTGAGTATGCAGGTACTTCATATGTCCACAGAGCTATGCCAGGTCGGGGTGCGGATGGGGGTGGTATGATAGAAGTGTAGGACATAGCTTCTGTCTTATCCTCAAGGAATCTCCAGAATAGTTGGTGGATGGGATAGGGAGGGGACAGAAAAGATATGAATGAAACAAAGTAAGACTTGGAGGTTTGTGATTTGATTGTGTTCAATCAAATGCTAATTTTGAGGCACACTATAAATGCTATAGGAGTCTGGAGAAGAGGGAGATAAGTGAGCCTGAAAATGTTTCTTGATCTATTTCTTCATGCTCTTCCTTGGTGATCTCATCATCTGATTTTATTATCACCTGTATTCAAATGAGTCCTAAATCTGTGTATTAAGTCCTCAACTTGCTTGTTAGACATCTTTACTTGGATGTCCCATAGACATCTCAAACTCAACATGTTCAAAATGGACCATTTTATCTTTCCCCTTGAGAATTTAATTCAGTTAATCACTACATATAATCCTGTGAGCAAGAATCCCTTAGAAGAAATGGAGTAGCCTTCATAGTCAATAAAAGGGTGAGAAAAAGATGCCATTCATCATAGGGGACTGGAGTGCTAAGGTAGGAAATCAAAAGATAATTAGAATGACAGGCGAGTTTGGCCATGGAGTACAAAATGAAGGAGGACAGAGACTAATAGAGTTGTTTTTTTTTGTTTTGTTTTGTTTTTAGGCAATTGGAGTTAAGTGATTTGCCCAGGGTCACACCTCTCGTAAGTATCAAGAGTCTGGTCTGAGGCCTCATTTGAACTCAGGTCCTCTTGACTCCAGGGTCGGTGCTCTATCCACTGCGTCACCTAGCTGCTCCAAAAAAGGGTTATTTGGACAAAACTGTCTTAGTCAGGGCAGCTAGGTGGCGCAGGATAGAGCACCAGCCCTGGAGTCAGGAGGACCTGAGTTCAAAT